TTAGATACCGCTAAGTTGTGAACAGTAGTAGGAAAACGAATCACACTGTCATAAAGACATACGCTCAATGATGCAAACTGGCAATCCAAGCTGTGGGATATGATGTGAAGAATTCAACAAAGAACAAATGCAATAAGCATAGTACTAATTCGAGAAACAGAAAATTTCTGTCAACAAAGCTAGCTGACAATATTAGGGATTGAACCCTGAATTTGAGCACCATGACAACTCAGGTATTACTTTGGATTCAAAGGAACATTTAATGCATTCTATATCTCTTGAGAAATACCTCATGACAAGGAGAAAATCCGCGAGCCTAACTAGATTTGATTTAATTCAAAGAATCTATACTCATTTAGAGAACTCTTATCCACAGAAATGGTACTTCATGTAGACTATTCATCAATCGTATTTCTTCATCTGGTCGTGCGACAGACAAACAATAGGTGATACTGACTGAAGAACGACTTATAACATATATAAACGCAAACAATCACCGCAGAGTTTTTCCAAATCGATGATCTATCCAGGTTTGCCAGTAATAAAGATAAGCTAAAACGATTATTCGGGAAAAGACCAAGAATTTTCCGAATGAGACCGATATAAATGTAAAAAGGTATTTGCGGTTTGCAGTGGCCCCAAAACGGTTATGGTTTGTTGTTTAATATCTAGCACGTAGGAAAGTAGGGAGTAAATCGTATAAAAATCGTTCATTCGCTGATATCAAAGAAAGGTAGCAATGCACACCGAGGGTGCTCAACTGAAGAAACGTTGGCCGTAACTCAGCACAGCCAAATTTACTACACTTGATCAGACAGGAATAGTATAAAAGGTTGTCAACAGGCACTGCCTTTCAACTCACTGTAACTGACATTTTTTCAATAAATTAAACCAAATAGTACGTCTTGTATTCATTCAACGTTTTGACTAATGAACTCACTGCTTACTTTATTAATTATCGGAATAAACTTACGGAATTAACCGGAAAGGAAGTTCACTGGGTGACTTTTAAGTGCAGTTTGAGCCTAAAAGGACATTAAAGTAAGAACTTACTTGAAGCGAACGAAACCCTAAGTGACGTTCTAGTACTTGATAAGCTCTGTTATCTATTTCACCCCATTATTGATAAAAATGAACTACACATTCGATAAACTTAAAGCTTCTTTAATTGTTGAACAAAAACCAAGGCCGATACCCAAATGCTAGAATGATTATGCTGAAAACACGAAACCACCAGTATTAGATGGGAGCATGTTGATTTATCTGAAGGAAATAAAAATGTTGGCGAGCAGTTTCGATCAACATTACCTTCGTGCGTTGCAATGTGACGTTTGAGGTGGGTTTTCCGGTGAAAAACTAAATCGCAGCCTTCCACGGGACAGAGGTAGTTCTTCGGTTGCATGCGATGAAACTCATCGCGATGATTCTTCAAATACTTGGGAGTACGGAAAGCGCGATCACAACCCTCGACATCACAAACATATGGTTTACGTGGATTGTGAATGTCAGCATGATACTTCAGACGAAGTTTTGTTTTGAACACTCTTCCACATTCCTCACAGCGATAGGCGTTATACTGTACGGAAGCACACTCATGATTCCGGAGATGGTCTTCGGTCGGAAATAAACGAGCGCAGCCCTCACATTGAACTTGATCAGTTTGGCCTTTTCCATGCATGGACTCAATGTGTTTGAGAAGATTTTTGCCGTATTGCGTTGAATAAGGGCACTGATCACACTGGTGGCGCTTAGCGACATGGTTTATGTGTTTTTTCATGTGACTTCTTAAAGACGACCGATTAGCATACACAGCATTGCAGACTTCACAAATAAACTCCTGTTCTTCCTCACCTCCGACCAGACGATCTTCCGGGGCTCCAGTTTCACATCCTTCGGGGAAAGAACTCGGGTAACCGCAAGGAGCGTCGTTGACTTTCCGAGAAAACTTTGAAGAAATTTGGGAATAAAAAGCTCCGCCAGATTGTTGCTCATGCTGCGACGACGGTCCGGATGCGCCCCCACTACCACCGTGTATGCCATACGGCGGCGAGAAGTTGTGCTTTGGGGTAACAGAAGTATTCAAAGAAGCCGGTCCGCTGCACGGATTGGGGGATTCAGTAACAGACGGTTGATGTGAGCGATATTCAGACGGAGTTGAACTACTGTCCACAACATCCGATGGCCCACTAGATTTCCCATGGGAGGACAAAGGACCACTGTTAACCATACAATCCGTAAGTGGTAACGGGGTGGCGTAGGCACTGGGCAGACCAGTTTGGTCAGGTGACTGAGTTTTATGACTCAATGGAGTAGCGTAACGATCCAACTGCTTCAACCGTTCTTTCAGAATGGGATTATCAGCCATTCGCTTGTCATCATCGCTGGTATCTTCGTCGTCTGTGCTGACTTCGGAATCACTTTCCGATTCAGAATCCGAAGCCTTGAGACATACACCCTTCTGGGTTTTTTCATCCAGCTTTTCGGCGGAATTCGATACTGTCTGTGAGTTCATCAGAATATTGTTCGTTGTAGGAAGGGTGGCGTTCGCAACACTAGACATATCGACTTGTTAGGATTCCTTATCACAGATAGTCTTTTTTAACGGATCGTTCCATAAAGAAGACAAAGATTAAATCCTCGATATGAATGAACATTCAAATCCAATAACGCGTGCGTGGAATAAATGTGAAATCATTGAAATTATCGTTTAAACAACGCAATCATTCCAAGCGCCTTTTGCGAAATCAACTCTGACCTTGAGAATGAGAGGAGATTAACAAGATTCAATATTCAAATTTTAAATTTCAAGTTTCAGGACGTGGAGGGGACTCCCAGGTGAGGTGTCCTGGTAGTGGCGTGTTCTGTCCTGGGACCGACTCTCCTGCCAGTTGGTACTGTTACCGGTTGGACCGCCTCGGGGTTATCTAGA